CCCGGTCCCAGGGCCCTCCCCGGTGGTGCCGCCGCCCCAGCTCCATTCCTCGTGCCCCCCACTTTCACCCGGCCCGGCCCTGTTAGCGCCCCGCGATGCCCTTGCCCTCGAGTCCCCATCCCTTCCCCTGCCTGCGTCCCTCACCCTGCCCTCGCCCTGCCCTCACCCTGCCCTTCTCCCCACAGCTGCCAAGTCCAAAGGCAAGGGTGTGCCAAAGGAGGTGTTGAAGGGGCCGGAGGTGTGCACCGACCCCACCATGCTCGCCACCCACGCCATGGGGGTCAACTACTTCAAGGAGGGTCCGGAGGTGGCCCTGAAGCCCGAGTCCGAGTACCCCGACTGGTGCGTGCTGCCCTGCTCCCCTCTGTCCCAGAGGTGCCATCCCAGGGGCTCAGAGCTGTGTAAGAGGGACAGGGAGGTGTTCTGCGAGGAGGCAGACTGCCCCTCTGCAACGCAGACACCTTCCCCAGGGTCAGGACTGTGGGGTGAGGGATCTGCACATCCTGGTCACTCATGTCCTTTGCTCCATCCCGTGCTTGTTTCTTTGTCCTTCCTGCGGCCTCACATCCTCTGCATTCACCCCCAGGCTCTTTAAGATCCACCTCGGGCCCCCCAAGAAGCTGGAGGAGCTGGACCCCAACTCACTTGAGTACTGGAGGCGCCTGCGGAAGTACAACACATGGCAGCGCAACAAGCTGAAGAAGGGCAAGAAGATGTAGGTGCTGCTGAGCTTGGGGCTTCCCGGTGTGCCAGCTCAAGTGGCACTGGAACCTGCCCTGGCTTTTGGTCTCTTCTCTTTGCTGTAAATAAGAAATAAATCTCTGGTGAGGCTGATTTCTGTAATAAAGTCTGTGACAGACCCTTGGCAAGCTCGGTGCAGGTCCCCTCCATGCCAAGGGCTGAGGCAACACAGGCCACACAGTCTCAGGTTTTTGGTCACAGAGAGAGCCCACACTGCCCATGGGTGCTGCTTCATCACCAGCTGTACCATGGCAGCTGGGGTGAGGGCTCCGTGGGGCTGTGGGGTGGGGAATGACCCACCCGTGTCACTGCGTCCCTGGCCAGTGGATCTCGGGGCCTGAGCAGCCTGTGCCTGGGGCTGGAAGGACAGGGGCCAGGCTTTGGCAGTGCGGTTGGGACAGCAGGCAAGGTGAGGGAGAAACGTGGCCTGCTGCAGTGCCACCCCAACACCATGCGCTCCTTTGCTCCTCCAGCAGCAGGAGCAGTGGTGCTGGGATGCCAGGGCTTGGCAATGGGGCCTCACTGCCTTATCTCTGCTTCTCCTTGGGCAGCTTCAGCCTGGCAAAGCCCAGCAGCCTCCCCTGGCCCCAGTTCGGCCTGTGTTAGGCACACCTGGCTGAGAGGTGCCTCTGTCACCTCAACTCACCTCCACCTTGGACTCACTGCCCTGCAGCTCCTTCTGGGCTCAAGTTGGGCTCTGGGGAAAAGAGGTGCCTGTGGGTTCCTGCAGGGAGGAAGGGACAGTGCCGCCTCTGCCTGGCTGGGCACGCCGGGGCCGCGTGCCCTGTGACAGCTCTACGCCCACGTGCTGCACAACAGGAAGGAAGAGGGAGGGAAGCAGAAGTGCTGTGCTGCTGCGCGGGGGCGATTTTTGGGGAGATTTTGGGCTGAACCCTCATTTTCTCTGTGTGGGGCTCAGTGCACAGCTTCAGAGCTGGTGGGGCTTGGCCATACTCTGTGGTGAGTGCCCATCCCTGCCCAGCCTGCAGCTCACCCTCCCCTCATCACCCCCAGTGTGTCCAGATCCCGAATCCAGCAGCAGGTGAGCAGACGGAGCACCTGGGTCCCTGTCCTCTGTCCTGGAGCACCCTGCTTGGGTGAGTGTCACCCAGCTGCTCAGGGCAGCTCAGTCCTGGAGACAAGGGCCCTTCTGGGGTGGGTTGTTGGGAAGGGACCTGAGAGGAGGAGGGAGCTGTCCATGTCCAGGTGGTTGGTGTCACACAAACCTTTCCCAGGACTCAGGGCAAGCTGACCTGGGTCCCAGTCCCAGGACCCCCATGGACCTTATGCTGACCCCCCTGTAGGCCCCTCATGGTGGCTCCAGAGCCACCATGCAGAGGCCTGGTAACAGCAAGGGGGCTGCTGCTGCCCCACTGGGGCCTCTGCCAGAAGGAGAGGGGTACTGAGGCCACCTTCTCTGTGTCACCTGAAAGGACAGGGAAGGTGACGGGGGCTATCCCCTCCTTCTAGTTCTGTGTACCCCAATCCATGAAGGTCCCTTTCCTGGGGCCAGGCTAAAGTACCCTGGCTCCTCGTCCAAGGCGGGGGGTGAGCGGGGTCCCCTGTGCCACCCAGCTCGCAGGATGGCAATGCGTGTCATTCCTGCCGGTGGGCAGATCCAGCAGCGCTGCCCAGCCAGGTCCCAGCACCTCCTCAGGCTCCTGACACCGGGATCGCATTGTTCTGCCCTCTGAATCACCCTGTGCCAGAGGGTCCGGTGGGGCACGGGGGCCTGTCACCCCGCCACCCACTGACAGCCCGTCCCCTCGGCGTCCCCAGGAGCGATGGGGGACTGGAGCATGCCCATCGGCTCGCTGGGCGAGGACGTGGTGGCCCGGCTGTGTGAGCTGCTGGACAACGCCGGCCGGGGCTGGCGCAAGCTGGCCGAGCTGGCCGGGGCCGAGAAACGCTTCAGGTGCAGGTAGGGCTGGCGGAGCCCTGCCGGGGGCTGTCCCCGACCGGGTTACCACGGGCACAGCTCTGCCGGGGGCTGAGCGAGGACGGGTCAATTCCCCCAGGCTGGGCTCCCGTGCTCCCCGAGAGAAGGGGCTGTAGCCGTGGCTGTGGCTGTGGCCGTGGCTGTGGTTGTGCTGTGGCTGTGGCCGTGGCTGTGGTTGTGCTGTGGCTATGGCTGTGGCCATGGTCATGGCCGTGGCTGTGGCTGTGCTGTGGCTGTGGCCGTGGCCGTGGCTGTGGCTGTAGCCATGGCTTTGGCCGTGGCTGTGGCCGTGGCTGTGGCTGTGCTGTGGCTGTGGCTGTGGCCGTGGCCGTGGCTTTGGCCGTGGCCGTGGCCGTGGCCGTGGCTGTGGCCGTGGCTGTGGCTGTGCTGTGTCCATGGCTGTGGCCGTGGCCGTGGCTGTGGCTGTGGCTGTGGCTGTGGCCGTGGCTGTGGCCGTGGCTGTGGCTGTGCTGTGGCTGTGGCCGTGGCCGTGGCTGTGGCTGTGCTGTGGCCGTGGCTGTGCTGTGGCTGTGCCCATGGCCGTGGCTGTGTCTGTGACGGCTGCGGACGCTTGCAGCGCGGAGGAGCTGGAGATGTGCTCGCTGAAGGTTCTGGAGCCCCGTGGCAGCCCCACGCAGTGCCTGCTGCAGCTCCTGGCCGAGCGCGACTGCAGCCTGCGCTACCTGCTGGGCTGCCTGGAGCGCATGGGGCACCACCAGGCCTGCCGCGTCCTCAGCGCCGCCGGTACGGACGGGCGGCGGAGCCGGGGGCTGGAGGGGAGCACCGGGCAGGGGCTCAGCAAGAGGAAATGGGCATGGGGGTGAAGATCAGCAATTCCTGTTGGGGTCTTGCTCTAGTAGTGAGGTGCTGGGCAGGCAGGGTGGAGCGGGATGTATGCAAGAGGATGAGATAGGGTGGGATGTGGTCTCATTGGACGGGACAGGACAGATTTGGACAACATAGGATAGGGCAGAGCAGAGTGGGATGGGATAGGCTGAAACAAGATGAGATGCATAGATGGGATAGCACTGAATGTGCCAATGGGACAAGGTAGGATGAGATGGTTGGGATAGGACAGAGGTGTGGGATGTGATAGGATGGGCTGGGCTGGGAGAGGAAAATCTGTGGTGGGTGAGGGTGGGGCAGGATAGATGGGACTAGATGGTATGGGGTGGTGCAGGACAGGGAGCTCAGCCAACCCAGGCTGGTTTCTCCTCTCCCACAGTCCAGGATGTGATTCGCATCACGGTGCAGCCAGAGTCGCAGGTGGTGGTGGAGGGGACACAGGTGTCCCTGACCTGCTGTGCGACTGGCCCACCAGGCCTCGCGTACCAGTGGTTCTGTGGGAGGCAGGAGGTGAGGTCCCGCTGTGCCACGCTGAGCAGGGTCCCCACACCCTGCCCATGGTGAGGGACCTACATGGGTAAGAGGGAGCACATTACTCCTTGGCCTCCTCCTGTCTTGTAGTTGCCTGGAGCCACATCCCCAGAGCTGGTGATCGACACAGCCACTCCTGCGGGCCAGCCTGAGTGGTACATCTGCCGGGTGAACTGTGGGGCCACCTTCACTTTCTCCAGGTGGGCTCAGGTGCAGGTGGAGAAGAGCAGCAGCCCCAGCTCAGGTGGGTCTTGAGATCTCTGTCCTTGGGCTGGCAGCTTTGGGCACCACTTACCTAATTGGGACATCTCCTGCAGGACACCTCTCGCCCCATCAGGACAGGGATGGGTCCTGAGTGGTATCATTTGCCATGTAAGGCCCTGGCTCAACTGTGAAGGTCTCTGGGCTTGCTGGGGTGATGGTGCCCACAGAGGAGCCACATGTCCTATGTCCTTCTCGTGCCTGCTGCCTCATGCCATCCATGGGTGCCAGGGCCTGTGGGTGCAGAACCTGGGCCTGGAGCAGCACTGCAGAGTGCTGCCATGGCTGGGTACCTAATTTGCCACCCCGTCCCTTCCCCAGCCAGTGGCTACTGCCCGAGCATGGCAGGGCTGCAGATCCTGCGGCAGCCGCGGCCGTGCCGCCTGTCCGAGGGGGACACGCTGGCGCTGGAGTGCAGAGCCATTGGCAACCCCCCACCCCAGTACCAGTGGTTCAGGAACCGGCGCCCCGTGGAAGGGGCACAGGCACCCCAGTTTCAGGTATGGAGGGACCTCTGGCATGGCACAACATGGTATAGCATGGCACAGTGTGCCCCAGTGCAGTGTGGTCTGGCACACTGCCCCAGCCTCCTGCTCTGTCCTGCTGGCAGGTGAAGCTGGTGACAACAGCTGAGCGGGGCAGCTACTCCTGCCACGTGTTCAACCTCTTCCACGAGGTGTGGAGCCAGGAGGTGGACGTGGAGATTGGTGAGGGCCCCTGGCAGACCTCTGTGACTCCCCACCTGCTCTGTTCCCAATAAAGCCCTCATGGCTGTGCAGTTTTGTGCATGCTGGGAGCTGTGCATGCTCCCATGCTGGGAGGTGATGCCAAACATAGGGTTCCTGATGTCCCCTCTGCCACAGGTCCACGGCTCTTCACCTCTGGAGGCTCCTGGCAGGAGGGGGATGGAGGTAGGTGGGGGCAAAGTGGACAGATCTGTGCTGCTCTGCCTGCTCTGCTCCCCTGGCACTGGAGGACCATGGCGCAGCATTTCTCTCTTCCCAGGCTCCCTAGAGCATGGCAGCCCTGGACAGCTGTATGGTAAGAGCCTGCCCAGGAGGGGCTGGTGGCCCGGGGGGGGTTCTGTCTGTTGCCAGTGTCACCATTGTCACCCCATAAGGCTTTACCTGGCCGGGAATGCTTTGGGTGCAGCATACTGGAAGAGTGAAACAGCGACCCAGCCCCAACCCGAATTAGGAGAGCAGATCAGCAGCTTAACCCTCAACCCAAATCCCCAACCCTAACCCTTACCCATAACCTGAGGGTTCAGGGATCAGCAAGGCAGGGATGCCATAGGGCATGTTGGTACCCAGGGACCGTGATGCTGGCCAGAGCTGGGTGTGACCTCTGTGTGCTGGGGGCAGCATGGAGCGCAGGTGTGTCCCAGTCTGTAACAGCACCTCCCTCTCCTGTCCCTGCAGCCACAGACAAAGTGGCGCTGCTGATCGGCAACATGCACTACCTGCACCACAAGCAGCTGCAGGCGCCCATCATGGATGTTCACGCCCTCGGAGCCCTCCTCTGCCAGCTCAACTTCAAGGTGGTGTCACTGCTGGACCTGTGCAAGGCTGAGATGCAGATGGCCGTCGATGAGTTCCTCCTGCTCCTTGACAAGGGCGTCTATGGTGCGACAGCACCCGCCAGGGTGGCTCCAGCCCGGGGGGAGCTGGGTGGTCTAATGCTGGTGGAGTCTTGGGGTGCAGCCAGGCAAGAAGCAGGTGCTGGCAGGTCGGGGGGTGTCACCATTTCACCTGCCCTCCTTTCCCCCAGCAGGTTTGCTCTACTATGCTGGCCACGGCTATGAGAATTTTGGCAACAGCTTCATGGTGCCCATCGATGCGCCCAGCGCCTACACGTCAGAGCACTGCCTGTGCGTGCAGCGGGTGCTGCAGGAGATGCAGCAGCGCCGCACCGGCCTCAACATCTTCCTGCTTGACATGTGCCGCAAGAGGTGACCCAGCCCTGCCACCCGCCTGGGACAAGCTGCCACTCGGGGAGAGCCAGGACAGGGGCTGTTGGTGGTGGCTCCTGGGGGCGGGTAGCAGGGCACCCCCAGGGTCCCATCTAAACCCACTGTCTTTGTCTAAATGCCCCAAGACTTCACTGCCTCTGTGAGCTAGCACATGCTGTAATGGGGGGGCAGAGGGGCACAGAGCAGCCCTCAAGGTTTGGTGTGCTTTGGGGTGGGTTTTGGTGGGGGGACAGGTTCTCACTCTGTCCAGCTTCTCTTCTCTTGCAGGAACCTCAATGATGACATCATCCCGCAGGTTGGGGTGCTGGAGGTCACGGCCAACATCGTCTTTGGCTATGCCACGTGGGTCCCCTCCCACCATCCCCTGGCACAGGCAGTGGGACTGAGTCTCCCTGCCTAGCTCAGGGGCTCAGACCCCCACGGCTGCATCCCTCACCCTTGATGCTGGAGGGGCTGGGCAAGTTGGGCAAGTTGGGCAGTCCCTCACCGGGTAGGGAGGTGCCAATGGCACTGCTTGGCTTTGTGCAGCACCTGCATGAAGCTCCAAGACTCCTCCAGAGCACAGGGGATTGGGCTGGTGATGCTTTAAGCATTCAGGATCTGGCCATGCTCTCGCCTGTGCCCAGCACAGTGGCCAGATGGTGTGATAAGAACAGGAAGAGTGCTGGGCACCCAGCTCTGGCTTCCTTAGAGCTGTCACCCTGTTGGGGGCCAGTTCCCAGGGAGTGCCAGACCCCATGACAGATCCAACCACTGCCCTGTCCCCGCAGGTGTGCGGATGCCGAAGCCTATGAGCTGAGCCAGGGTGAGCTCTCCAACGGCATCTTCGTCACCTTCCTCAAGCGCTGGCTGCTGGAGGATGAGAAGATCACGGTGCTGCTGGACAAGGTGGCTGAGGGTGAGTGAGGGGCAGTGGGGAACAATGACCCCCCTGGTGGCCCCTGCCAACCCCTGTGCCCCTGCAGACATGGGCACTCTGGAGATCACACGGGGCCGACAGGCACTGGAGCTTCGCAGCAACCTCTCAGAGAGACGGGCTCTGACAGACCCCATCTGCCCCCCGGGCCAGGATGAGTCCTCTGCCAGGAACCTGCAGTGGGCCAAGGCTCATGGTGAGTCACGGCCACCCTGTCCCAAGCTGGCATCGAGAGGGGGGGACAGTCCCAGGAGCAGAAAGAGGCTGTGAACATCCGCTGGGTTCCTCCCACCTGGAGGAGAAACTGCCAGCACAGAGCCACCAGCCTGGAGACAGGAACAATGAGTTGGCAGCCCTGCTCTGGGGTGACCCAGCGGCCACCCCACCTGTGGGCACAGCTCTGGCCCTGAGGCCCTGCAGGTCCCAGCCCTGTGCTCCGTGTCCCCTCCCCAGTCCTGCCGGAGAGCCGGCACCTCCGCTTTGACTGCGGTGTCACCGTCCAGCTGGGCTTCGCTGCCGAGTTCTCCAACATTATGATCATCTACACGCGTGTGGTGGCTGCCCCCAAGGACATCGCCCAGTGTGAGGCCCGGCTCACTGATATTCCCGAGGTGGGAGCAGCTGCCGAAGCCCCCGCCAGGGCAGCGCTGGGGAACGGGGGGGAACCGTGCTGCTCTTCACGTGGATGCTGTCATGGCAGGAGCTGGATGTGGACCTCAAGTGCGCCAACAAGGAGAGCCCAGAGGAGCTGGGCAGCCCGCTGGCGCCCGTCTGGAGCCTCAGCTGCCCCTCCTGCTGCCTCTACAGCCGGATCTGTGGCTTGCAGAAGCTGCGGGTAAGAGCCATGGCGAGCGGGGCTGGTGTCAGGGGCACGCTGTGACAGCCGTGCCAGGACAGGAGCCCACGGTGCTGCTGTTCCTGCAGCAGGAGCTGGCCTTCACCGTGTGCCTGCAGTACCGCTACCAGGGCATGGATGACTTTGTGGAGGAGCGGCAGCGGGTGAACGTGGGGCGGCCGCTCATCGCCAAGCTCAACCTGCAGTGGGCAGCCCCCCCGTCACCAGCCCACAGCCCCCTCTGCCCCTCTGCCCCCGGGAGCTGGGGGGTAGGGGAGAGCTCATGGGTCAACACCCCTGAGGAGAACCTGAGCCCCGAGGGCCCCAGCTCCCACACCCCATAGAGGACAGGGAGATCCCATCCCCATCACCGCAGTCCCCTGGTGCCACGCCTGTCCTGCTGGGAGGCCAGGGGATGGAGGGGGTGCAGGTGACATGCACAGAGGCTGGCCTTCGTCCTGGCTTGTGCCAAGGGGTGCAGGTCTCACAGCACAGCATGACTGGGATTGTGGGCCCCAGCCACACGTCCCTGGGCATGGCAGTGCCACCCCCACATCCCTGAGCAGGGCCAGTCCCACATCCCTGGGCATGGCAGTGCCACCCCCACATCTCTGAGCAGGGCCAGTCCCACATCCCTGGGCATGGCAATGCCAGTCCCATGTCCCTGGGCAGTGCCAGTCCCACGTCCCTGGGCATGGCAGTGCCACCCCCATGTCCCTGAGCAGGGCCAGTCCCACATCCCTGGGCATGGCAGTGCCACCCCCACATCCCTGAGTAGGGCCAGTCCCACATCCCTGAGCAGGGCCAGTCCCATATCCCTGGGCATGGCAATGCCAGTCCCATGTCCCTGGGCAGTGCCAGCCCCACATGCCAGGCCACCACCAGGCAGTGCCAGGGGCAGAGTGCCCGGAGACCACGGCTCAGCAGGCTCGAGGCGTCGTGCCTGGGCAGGGCTAGGTTCGTTCAGGCCTGGGAGAAACAGAGAGAAATAAGCAGCTTAGGGGGCAAATCCTGCGGGAGGAGATTACAGGGGGTGGGAGCGGGAGGGCTCCTGCTCGGCCACGAGGGGGTGGGAGCATCCCCTGGTACCCCCAGCGCTCCCAGCAGCACCCACTGCTCACAGTACAGCCCCAGCAACCAGCCCCAGCTGGGCAGTGAGCGATTTCAGGACAGGATTGGGATCTAAGGGGGGAAAAAATTGCCTTTTTGCTTGAATTTTTCCCACACAAACTCCCACATGCTGGGGCAGGCTCCAGTGGGTGTCCACCGAGGAAAGCACCAATAAAGTGGTCCGGCCAGGCAGATCGGCGCTTCTGCGCCCTCCCTGCGTTTACATGACATTTTCGGGGCCAGAAATCTTGCCCGTCCCTGCAGGAGGTGCGGCACTGAACCGGGCGCACCCACGGGAGGGAAGAGGGGTACCCAGCGCGGGTACCCCGACATTCCCCGTGCCACCCCAAGGAAAACAGCTCAATTCCATAATTGACACAAGCCCCAGCGCCAAGGGGCCGGGGCGGCGCATCCTCCCCGCGGGGCCCCTCGGCGCGGCCCGGGAGCACCCGCGCCCCAATTAGTCCGGGATCAAACGGGCCGGGCGCGGCCGCTCCCGCGCCGGCCGCGCTTTGTCGGCGCTCGGGAGGCGAGGGGCGCCCGGGCTGGCGCCAGCCTCGGCAATTATGTCATGTGAAAAGCGCAGCCCCATTGAGCGCGTCCCGTCCCCCGGATCAAACCCCATTACTTCCGCAGCCCTGCCTTCATTATCTGCCGGCCGGAGCGCGCCTCGGCCGGGGCGCTTCACCCCATTAGGCGGGCCGGGGAGCCGGGGAGCATCGATTATGCGTTTAATGGCTTGTTAGAGGTTTAATTGTCGCTAACGAAACGGAGGAGCAGCAGCAGCCGGGGGACGGGGCACAAGGAGAAGGGTCTCGCCGGGGTCAGTGCCTCGCCTGGCCCCCTGGCATCCCGGCCAGACCCGCCCGACCCCGCGGCTCTGGAGACGTCAAAGTCCGGCCCGGGGGGTTTGGAGCGGGTCAGACCCCGGCTGGGGGGGCTGCAGGCGGCGGCGCTGGCACTGAGCAGGGTCTGGGCCGGGGGACGCGGTGGGGATGGGGCTGCCCCAGCACAGCCCCGGCTGGCGGCTCTTGTCAGGTCCGGAGTGGGAAGATTTTCTGGGGAAAACCTTGAAAAGTTTTGGTGGGGGGCGGGTTGTCCCTCGTCTGGCTCCTCCAGGGACTGGGGCTCCCCAGGAACCTAGGACATTTCAGGGCATCCCAGGGACCCGGGGCACCCACTCACCCAGGGATAAGCCCCCCTGTCTTGTCGTCCCAGCTGTGTTTAAGCCCCTTAAATCCACTGCGGACTCAGCCGTGTGCTGGGGCTCTGCTGGCCTTTGCCATGGTGAGGGTGCTGGTGCCACTGGCTGTGCCCTGAGCTCCAGCGGGTGGGCAGATGGGACAGAGCTGCAAAGACGCCTTGAGGACATGGCACCTTGACACCACCCCAGCTCCCACCCGGCAAGGAACACTGGCAAGGGGTAAGCCAGGTGTGGTGTGCCCCAAGAACCCTGTTGTGGTGACCCCAGGGCTCACAACTGGCCGCCTCCTCTCACCATGGGCCCTCGGGGGTCCCACTGCTACCCATCCTCCCATCAGCACAATTCCAGCAGCCCTCTGCCACTGGCGCCTCTGGGGGTGTTAAGGCGGGGGGCAGTGGGCACAGCCCCCAAGGGACCTGTGACAAGCTGTTGAGGCCACGGAGCAGCACAAGCCAGTCCCAGATCACCTGTGCCTGGACCTGGCCCAGCCCTGCACGCAGCATCCCGAGGGAGCAGGGCAGGAGGGTGGCAGGGATGGTGCTCCTGTGGCCCCATGGAAAGCTCCTTTCTGGCAGAGGCTTGGCAGCCACCCTGCACGACCGAGGCCCCGCAGCGCCCGACTCCAGCATGCAGCAGCCGTCCAGCTTATCTCTTTACTCACAATACACCCGTGCTCTCGGCGCATCTCCTGGCACGACAGCAGCGTGCCCCAACGCAGCTAAAACATCCCCCCAAGTACTCCCTACAAAACTAGAGCTTTCTGTTCAGTTTTGTTTAAATCTGCATCATTAAAAAAAAATTAATAATAATGGAAAGGGGAGGGGGTGTGGAGAAAGGAGGTGTCCAGCTGGGGTGTGGTGGGTAGCCAGGTGGCACAGTGGAATGCCTGAGTCTCAGCCAGGTCCTCAGCTGATCTTGGTGCCTCAGAGAGGCAAAGGAGCTCTCCTGGAGTGCTTCCCCCAGCCGTGGGGTCCTGCCAGCACAGCGAGTGGCTCCCCTGACCCCACGGGTGCTGGGTCAGCGTGGGGAAGAGGCAGCCCAGCATCCCTGCCCGGTGCCAGCCTCGGTCCTGCTGAGCACCCGCTGTCCCCCCTCGCCCGCCGCGGGGCCGAGCCAGGACGGCGGCTGGGGAGCTCGGAGGGGAGCGTTCATCAAATGGGCTGCCAGGTCTTGTCAATGGTCTGAATGTGCTCCTTGGCTTTCATGCGGAGCGAGGCGATGCTGGAGCTCCTCTGGTCCACCTCCTCCAGCGGGTACTTGTCCACAAAGGGGGTGCTGCACTGGTAGGGCGCGGGGGCCATGGGCTGCATGCCCTGCGCCATCGGCGGGGGGGTGTTGAGGAAGGAGTGCCCAGCATAGGGGGGCTGCAGGGCCTGGGGGGCTCCCATGAAGCCAGGGATGCTGTGGACCGTGGTGGCACTGGAGATGGGGGATGTCAGCCATGGGTCGAGCGGGAGGGAGTTGCTCATGGGCCCCACGTTGGGGGTCATGGGGGGCCGGTTGAAGGACAGCACAGGGGTGTCGTGGAGCTTCATGGAACTGGCCTCCATCTTCTCCTGCCTCCTCCACTTGGCTCGTCGGTTCTGGAACCAGACCTGCGAGGTGAGAGCCAAGGTGAGCTCATTGTGCCCAGTTGGACCCCTGCAGTGTGCCCCACGTGCTGGGTCCCATGCAGGGTGCCCCATGTCTCTGCCCCCATGCAGGTTGCCCCATTCTGCAGTGTCCCATGTGGGGCACCCCACAGGGAGCACTCGAGGTGGGGGTGTCCCATATGAGGTACCCCATCCCACCAGGGCTGTCCTACAGGGTTCCTGCAACCCCAGCACCTCTGTCAGACCTCTTTACAAGCCCCAGAGACCAGGGACATCCCAAGGTGTGGAAGTGAGAGGTCTAAGCACACAGCCCCTTTTGCTCCATGGGAAGCTGCACCCCAGCGCTGCAGACTCCCAGCAGCCCATGGGACAATGTTATCTGACCTTCCCAGCCCCTTGGTCACAGCTTTTATAAGTTAAACAGCCACAGTTGTGCCAAAACCAGCAGGAACAACAGGGACCGGCGACCCAGATCCGGCGGGGACGTCTGGCCCTGTGGGAACTGCTCATTAAAGTGCTGGTCCCCATGTTCCCAGAGCAGCACAGGGCACGGGGGTCTGCTGCAGGAGGCAAAGGGGAGGAAAGATGAATGGCTGGGTGGGAAAGGGGAGGGTTCCACGGGCTGCTCACAGCTGTTGGTGGACACTGAGCTGCAGAGCTCAGCCTGGAGAAGAGGAGACTCAGGGGGGACCTTCTGGCTCTGCACAACTCCCTGACAGGAGGGGACAGCCTCAGGGTGGGTCATGCTCTGCTCCCAGGGAGGAAGGGAGAGCAGAGGAGGAAACAGCATCAAGCTGTGCCAGGGGAGGGTTAGGTTGGAGATTAGTGGAAACTTCTTCCCTAGGGCAGTGGTGGAGTCCTCATTCCTGGAGGGACTTCTAAGACATGTAGATGTGCACTGCACTTGGGGACATGGATTGGTGGTGGCCTTGGCAGTGCTGTGGGAGCTGTTGGACTCTATGGACTCAGAGCACTTTTCCAGCCTGAATGATTCTGTGATTCTATGAAACTGGTTGTTGCTCAGAGAGCTCAGCAGAGGTATTTTTATGGTTTGGACCCCCACAAAAAAGGCTGCACTGGGGCTGAGGCCTGGAAAATTCAGTTCATTTGTTTGGGGGTTACTGCTTTCATTCACAGTGGGTTTGTTACTTCAGCTCCCTGACCCTTTCTGCCTCCTGCATCTCCCCCCATCAGTCCAGGCATGGTGAGAAGAAGACTTGTGGGACCCCAGGCTCTTCCCTGGCTCTGCTGTCCCTGCATGAGCCTCCCCAGCCCCACTGCCTTGCCAATCTGCCCTGCTCCAACAGGCTTAAAACCCTCAAATCCAAGAGGATCTTGTGCTTTCCCAAAATCCTGGAAGGAGCTACAGTCAGCCAAGGTGGGCTTTGTGCACACTTTCCCACGCGAGCAGCAGGAGGGATGGGAGCAGCCACCACCAGAAGGGGGGAAAATTTCTGAAAACCATCTCTGTGCCCTAATGGAGTCTCTGGCCCATGGGCCCAACTGAGACCTTGTACATCAAACTGGGGCCCCGTGGAGGAGCAAGGCTCAGCCATTAAACCCTTTCCCTGGCTTTGCTGGGAGCAGCTGGCTCTGCAGAGATGCCGCTCCCATCAGAAGCTGTGGGGAAACTGAGGCACAGAGGGAGGCATTGGCACTAGAGCTCAGAGCTGAGCGGAGCTCTCCGGCACCTTGGGGTCCCTCTGCCGCCACTCAGGGACGGATCCAGGGGGCCGAGGCGTTGTCCTCCCTACCTGCACGCGGACCTCTGGCAGGTTGACCTTCATGGCCAGCTCCTCGCGGCTGTACACGTCGGGGTAGTGGGACTTCTCGAAGGCGCGCTCCAGCTCGTGCAGCTGGTACGTGGTGAAGGTGGTGCGGTTCCGCCGGTGCTTCTTCTTGGGCTGCTCCTCCTCGGCGGCGGCCGGCGGGGTGCTCTCGCCGTCCCCCGGCTTCCGCAG